TCACCGCAGGTGCCATTGTCACGGCAGATGCCATTGTCACTGCAGGTGTCATTGTCATGGCAGGTGTCATTGTCACAGCTGGCCATGTTGTCACCTACAGGTGTCATTGCCACTGCAGGTGCCATTGTCACGGCAGGTGCCATTGTCACCACAGGTGTCATCGTCACCGCAGGTACCATTGTCACTGCAGGTGCCATTGTCATGGCAGGTACCATTGTCACTGCAGGTGTCATTGTGACCGCAGGTGCCATTGTCACCGCAGGTACCATTGTCACCGCAGGTGTCATTGTCACTGCAGGTCTCATTGTCACGGCAGGTGCCATTGTCATGGCAGGTGCCATTGTCACGGCTGGCCATGTTGTCACCACAGGTACCATTGTCACTGCAGGTGCCATTGTCACCACAGGTCTCATTGTCACGGCAGGTGTCATTGTCACGGCAGGTGTCATTGTCACGGCAGGCCATGTTGTCACCTGCAGGTGCCCTTCCTGAGCACAAAGCTCGGCCTTCGTTGTCCAGAGCTCTGGCAGTGCTACGAAACACTGAAGGACGAGGAATATTTTTGTATCATGAGTTTTTGAAGCTATTTGTTTGTGGTGTTTAGCAGCGGCAGAGCAGGTGTTTTACTGTTGCGTTCACTAACAGATTTTGTATTTAAGGCAAATGCCTTTTGCTTGTTCATGATTGAGGGTAAATGCAATTGAAAATCGCAGTATCAAATACAGCTCCTAAATGCTAACACAACCACCCTGATAATGCCCAAAACCTCTCCAAGGGAACTAGTTGCAGCAGGGAAAACCTCTGTGTCACCCCGCTGAGCTGCCTTTAAACGATCTCAGCATTAAGGTCTTGTTCATGTTAGAAACGCAGGCCAGGGTGGCGGTGGAAATAGCTGTTAAGACCAAGGGTGAGACCATCAAATCATTTTTTCCTTCCAAATATTTGCATCCTCTATGGAAAGGTTATAAACCTTGGTTTGTAGAAGTTGTAAACCTTGGTGTTGTAGGGAAAAAAAAAAAGAAAAGCAGGATAAAATAACCTAGAGCAACCACAGAGAAAGGAAGATAAAGGAAATGAAGAGAGAAGATAAAAAGAGGAGGAGAAGCATATTGCAGCTCGGAGAGCAAGCACCGCAGCAGCCTTCCAGGGATCCCGTGCTCTTGTTTGATGACTTTGGGGCTTTCAGCACGGAAGCAGCATTTTGTGTATTCATCGCTTTTCATGCTGGGTCACATGTGTGAGCGGGACACGGAAAGGCACTTCCTGCTCCCGAGTGTCCCACCTGCACGGACCTCACCCGTAGCCGTCCTTTTGCAAGGTGTGGGATGGCCCCTTTCATCCAGACGGGCCATTCCATAAACACAGAGGCTGCAACACACAGGGGCTTCTCCAGGAGAGAGGGATATGGCAACTGGCCCTTTTTCCAGGTGCTTTTTTGACAATAGCTGAAGGTGCTTGGAAGGGCGTTCTTGGGAATGGGTTTGTGCAGGGAACAAGGCTCTCCCCGAGCTGAAGGACAGGCAGAAGGAGCCACAAGCACCTTCCCCTGCTCTATCCCACGGCCCTTCCTCAGCTCCCGTCCTCTGCAGGTGCTGTGAGCACCAAATGCTCCCAGAAGGGTGAAACTGGGGATCCTGCGTCGTCAGTCCGACCTACGTCAGGAAGCAGCTGAGACGCCGAGTTCTTAAGACAGTTAAAAACTTCAGGTTAAGACCTAAATATTTTACTTTTAAAAAATATTTTACCTGACTTTTTTTTTTTTCTTTTTTTAACTAGATTAATTATTCGGTTATGATGAGCTTAATGGAAAATGGTGTGGGCGATTAGCTCAGAAATGTCAACAATTGTAAAGCAGGGAAAGCTTTCAAATGGTTTGTATTGCTCATACCTCTTAGCATAAATTCGTCTTTGGCATGAATAGTCGTGGAGAGCTTTGGATTAAAGGGAATTTTCTTTTTCCTCAGGGATCTGAACAGATCAAAATAAGGCTTCAGTCAGTGCTGTTGCCTTTCAAATTGTTCTCAGACCCAATGTACTTCTCATCGCGACACAAACTTTCTTACAGAACAGCATTCTTCCCAAAAGAAACTGTCAGTAATATTTACTTAGCTGTGTTGACAGGTGAATTTGCTGATATTTTATGTTTTAGCTCAAGCCACAGAGGCTGAAGAGCTGAAATCAGGAGTGTCTGTGATAAAAAACTCACTTTCATGCTCCACGCCTGGGACTGCTCCGAGCAGCTGGTTGCTTGCACTCACCCTAGCACAACTTCACTCTTGCACTGTTTTCAATTTATTTTGTGTCAGATACTGTGCTTTTGTGAACTTTATGGAGAGTTAACTCAGAACATCCTTTCACATTGCCCCTAGTTTGGGTTCATTCTCCCCAGATTCACCTACTGTTTATTTTGAATGATGAAGGCAGTTAGTGCATTATACAGCCAATAAATAGGTGATACTGGAATATAAAAAATACGGACAGTAGGACATAGCTAAACACAGTAACTTGCTTCATTTCCTTAAAAGTGCACATTATTATATCTTTAACTACGCCACCACCTCCTTACTTGCACGTCCTTGTTCTTTTTCCTAACTCTCGTGTCCATTGCTGTGGTATCACACCAGCATTCCTCCATCTGCTCCTCATTATCATCTCTCTTCAGCTCAATACAGCCATTTATCCTCTACATTCCTACCCTCCCCACCATTTACTGCATTTCCCCTTCATCCTGAGACCTACCCAAGCCCCAGTTTGGCCATTCCTCTGCTAAAACCCTTGATATCTCTATCACTCTTGTTGGTCTCTCGAAATTCATCTTTGTCCTCTCCTTCCCCTCTGCCTCTCCCCATCCTGCGTTCTGGGAATATGCCTTGGTACCACTGGGCACAGAACCCCTGAGTTTTGTGGAACGGGACTGTAAGCACCCGTGTAGCCACAGCTCATGAGTCGTCCCATTGCATCTAGAAAGATACTTCAGATGTTGGCCAACAAAATATGGTGGGAACAGCAAGTCCTACATCGAGTTGCAAATGCAACGCGTGTCATTTTAACCAGGTCTCCACCACACACTGGGTGATCAGATCACTAAGTGATCAAAAGCAGGTTCATCACCAGAGAATTTGTAAGGGGTTTTGCAAATTCCTGCACTGTCCATTTCAGGATGTTCATTCACGCAGGGCAGTAATTTGCATTAGAGGGTTTTAGTGCAGCAGCAGTTTATGCTTGACCTATGTTTGAATGGTCTTAAATTCAAAAGCACATGTCCAAATCATGTGAGAAAACAGAGGCCTTCTTAAAAAAAACTGTATAAAAAGCACTGAACACTCTTTTGACATATAAGAACACTTACTGATAAAGCAGAATACTGTGTGAAAACATCAGTCTCATCTGTTCAGAGTAACTGAAAAGATAATGTAGTTGTATTAAAGGCAGTTTTATTAGGATGCTTAAAAGTGCAGTGTCTCTTGTCAGCAATTACATATTATGACAGAAATACAGCATTCCACTTTATTATGTACTAAATGTCATAGCATTTTTTGACAGAAGTGCTGAAAGAAACGAAAACAATTTCCTTCACTGCAATATTGCCTAAATTGCACTAGAAATTCCACAACTGCAAAGAATCGAAACACACTGCAAAGAAGAGGCCAGCTGCAAAAAGCCACCTTGACAAATGATAAAAGAGGTGACCACACTGTTCCCAAGGAAGCAAAACCGTCAAACAAGTCGCATGCATAAAGTGTTTGTGTTCCTGTTTAGAGCAAAATCCTGTAGCAAGATCCGCAGCATCATTTCACAAGCAGAAAAACACTGTGCTGTCCATGCCCTCCGTGTCCTTCTCAGGTTTATGTTGGCTCATCTCTTCTCACTTTGCACTTCCCAACTTTTTGTTCCATTATTCACTATTACAAAGAATCTAAAGAAGCTGAGTCCAGCTGGCAAGTAATTCATTAGTGTTGATTTTTGTTCTGCCTTTGCTATACGCTAATTTGTGACACGTGAAATGGAGTATTCCAAAGATTTTTAGTAACTTCCACAATCACTCCCTTATGAAAAATCAGTGAATTGCAGTGGCTGGCATAGCAAGCAGCAATACAACCTGCTGATGTGAGGAATATTGCAAACGGCAGCTGAAGTTTTGCACCCAGCACATGGCCAGAAGGACACGTTCAGCTTTATAACCTCCCTTTGGAGAAGAGCCCAAATCAGGAAAATCTAAAGGCACAAGCCACACTGATACGCTTTCAAAGGAAAGGTTAAAAATGAAAAAGGAAGAGGGAGGACCCTTGTCTCTGGGAGCAGGTGCACGCAGCGTGTCCCGTGAGCAGAGAGGCAGTGCTTCGTTCAGGTTAGGAAACGCTCTCCTGCGAAGCCTCGTGCTAGGCTGGACACGCTTCGTGCATGTCCTTGTAAACCAACAAGAAGGTGGCAAGAATCCCCATGAATATTCACCGAAGTGTCTGCATTGCACCCCTCCCCGTGGCTCCCTAGTGGAAAATCCCCACACGTTGACCAGCAGCGTGCAGAGGGCAGCAGCCTGCCCTTCCCGCCACGCTGCGGGCAGCACTTGAGAGCTAGGGCCTTATCTGAAAGGAAGTTATTGCAGCTCTAACACAGAAGTCAATGCACTACTGTCTCCGGAGATCAACGCAACTGAATATGCTCAAAATGATATTGTTCCTCCCACCCTCCCTTTATCCCCAAGAAAAGTTTTGAAAATCACACAAGGCACAAACAGCTAGCAGGGTTCACAAGGTCCCGGCTGTTCTTCTTTTGGGCCTGGTTTCATGACCCTTTGTGCCTTCAGGTGATGACAGTGGGTCCCTTCCGCCCCGTCCTCTCGTGGATCTGAGATATTTTCAGTGCAATGGCTATAAGAGGACTCAGCACAGCCTAAAAAAGAAGAGATGATCAATTATATAAGGAGGGAAAATTAACACACACCTTATACATGTAAATCCCCCTTCAGCTGTAGAATTGGAAAATAGTAACAGCAAATGGTTGAATAAGAATAAGCCTCCCAGTGTTACCTTGTGCATGTTCCATTACCCAAGATGAAAAACAAGTATTAGGCTGAGCATATACATTGTGAAATGTTACACTGAGTTTAATCTAAACTGTGCATAAAGAGAGCTAGTAAAAAATATGATACTGCAGCAACTTGACAGAAATCGCGGTGATCTTGTGAAATCTGCTTATTTCTGCCCAGGTAAGTGCAAGTCCTGAAGATGAGATCTTTTTCCCTTGCAAGCTTCAGGGTCTGAAGAGTTTGTGACAAATACCTTAGCAGAAATCACAACAAGTTGCTTGAGCACCTGAAATTTTGTTAGGTACCATAAAATCCATACTCTCAACTCTCAGGCTACAAACCTTATCGAGTGACCCACATACATGAAACACTGTCTAGATGGGTGAATGCACATAACAACCTTGGTAGTACCCTATGAAGACTGTGTAAAATATATTTTTTTCAAGTGGCAAATAAATTTTATCTCAATTATATATATGATATATAAACTGGAAGAGCTGAGATTTGTGTGGAAACGTTTTTTTTCAGAAAATCATTTGAGTGATTCAGTTGTTTTGACTATCAAACTACTAAGACAACATTTCTGACTTTCAAGATTTTTTTTTTTTTTGCCTTTCTCAAATAAATTACATTCTGCCTTCCTATCAGGTTACATAAAACACAATGAAATCACTATTCTAAAAAACTTAACTTTACAGATATATTATTGTGTCTTGATATAGTCAATATCTTGTATCTGCATCTGCATTTAATGACTGACTGAAGTGTTTGGTCTATCTATACAAATGGCCGGGTGGTTTAATGAAAACAGTGAGCAAACTAACTGCAAATGGAGCAGTGCAATAACACCATTCACTTGGTGATGTGCCATTGGTGTCAAATGAGTTTATGACCTAGCTTAGTTGTGATACTTTGATATGTTGATACTCAAAAAGCTCCATATTTGTAGATATCTATCTAGTTAATAAGAGCTGAAACAGAATGCAAGTCTATTAAAGTCAAGCTGCTTAGTGGAGATTAATGTGTGAAGCATATGAGCATTTTTGGACAAATCATGAAGAAGCAGATTATAAAACGGGCCAGTTTATAAGGTCTGGATCATATCATTCCTTTCTTCCAACATCATGGATTAAGAAGAACTGAAAAAGAGCATCTCAACCCCGTTTGGAATTTTCTTCTCTGTTCAATTTTAAAAAGTAGGAAAAAGTAACAAGCAAACCTACTGAACGGCCTTTACCTGACACTGCTTTCTTAAGCAAGAAAAGCACTTTAAAGCTAAAGCAATCAAACACACAAGACCCTGCCCAATGCCCTAAACAAGAACCAAAATCAAATCAGTCAGTTTTATGCCACAACTGTTTACATAAGTATTTTAGAGGCTTTGCTTTGCCAAATATCATTAAAAATACTCCTGTCTCCTTTTTATACTTCTTATAATCACACTTGTACACACAGAAAGTCCCATCTTTAGTCACATCCCTTCACACTTCATTTTAATTATATTTCTCATTTGGTAGATGTAGAAAAAAAACCCATAATCCCAAAACAGACAACCTCTCTTTTTCACTTTGAAAGATATGTCAGTAAGAGTAGAGCAAAGCAACCAACAATCTCTACAATTATAGAGACTGATAGATAGATATAGGGGCAACTTATATTTGTTCCCTAGTGATCACAATTGGGGATTATTTATACTTTATGATTCTGGAAAGCCTTCTGGATCTTAAAGAGATCTCCAGTTTAAAATATTTTTCAAATGCTTCTTTCTACATAGTAAATTGTTCGGCTTTACCAACAGCATTTCAACTTAAAATGACTATTGCAATCACTCTGTTCATTAGCAATACATTTAACCTTTGGAAACCATTTGGGAGGTACAGCACAAAACTATCTGGGAGGCATTATCTTTTAGATAATATTTAAGAAGGGGACTGCAAATTAGCAAAATCTAAGTTCTAATTGGAATTTTATCTTTGTAAGAACACTAAGAAATTACAGTCTTTAAAGACTGTATTTAATACATGGCAAAGAAGTATCAAAAGCCTTTTGCTTGGGAATACTCTAGGCTGGACCTGTGAGAGGATCATTCCTTTCTTGGTTTGCAGCCTTCTTCCTCTTTGTGGCCTTGCAAGGCAATTCCATCCACCCACCTTCACCTAGCCATGGTCACACACAAGATCCCCCTTCTCCAAGGGGAAACCTGTTTTCCAAAGGCTCAGATCCCCAAGGTTCCTGTCGTGGGTTAAAAGCTGAGGAGGGGGATTAATAACATCCAGACGTCAAGGGGAACCTTGTGAAAAGCCACTAGGCAAAAGCAGTAGTTTCACTTAGGCTACAGCTTGACAATTTTCATCAAAAACAGACTATTCTAGACCAAAATCATAATCTATCCAGACTTGCTTGGAAAACTGATCTCTTAGTCTACATTGAATTTCAATCTTGTTAGGAAAACCAAGTCAAGGTGAGTTTCATGCAGTTTAGACACGGGTGTTTTCCATAGGACTAATGGAGATTAGTCCCTCTTGCTCCTTGCCTTCTGGGATCACAGAGGTGGATAAGGGAAAGCTATCCAACCTAGCCAGCAATTAAAAGAATATTACCCAGGGAGCAGAGATCCAGCTAAACTGGCTGTTATAAAGCTTTTACAGCCCCTGAATCACCGACAATCAGGAAGACTTTTCGGACTCTAATTATTTCAGAAGAGACGTGCAAGCCTGGCTAGAGATTTCTAAGGAAATCTGGCACACTTGAACTTATTCAGGAGAATTCATCTCCCTGGAACAATGGTTAATGCCTCTAAGTTAAAGAGAGATAAACAAGTGGCTTCCTACAGCATGAAGTCCTCCTGGAAGGGCTACAGTTTAATACTTGGACCTCTGTCAAGGCAGTAAATCTGCCAAGTGATTTGCACATTTGCATCTCCCCTTCTTAAATGCTGCCATGAAACCCCGAACTTTATCTCTTCAGCTGCTCCTCTACCAGATTTATTATAAATTATAGATGATTTGTAGTAGTTTTTGCAATTGAATAAGGTAGCATGGGGAATTATTATGTTTGCAGATTGCTTTGAAGTTACCAAGAAATGCTGCCTCTGGGTCATGTTGTCATTGTACAAATTATGGTAAGCCTTGAAGTTTCAGGCACGGGCTGGAAATTCCTTTCTCTTCTAACATTTAACTTCACTCTCAGTCCTGCTTTTCTTTAACCTTTAAGTGTTATACAGAAGGCTGCTTAGAGGCCAAGACAACTCTAAATCCATCAAGAAGGGACACAAAGGAATTGAGAAACAACTCTTTCCCTTCTTACCTCTCCATGCCCTCCAAGCTTTTTCTCTCTTTTTGTTTTCATGCAACTGTTTATAGCTGCTATTATGTTTTCTCAACATGGGCAGCAAAATCAGTATCATACAAACTAAGGGAGAAAAAAACAAAGCGAGTGATTCTTAAACATGTCCTTGTGGCCTTATCTATTATAAGCAGCTTTGGATGTCATGCACTTTAAAAGTCAAACCAGCACACTTGCTCCTATGACAGAAGGCACAAAGAATGGACCAAAACTGGAAAGTGAGATCAGCACTATCCTCACACAGGGCTATGCTTGCTGTCTGGCACCAAACCCATGTCTCCATAAGGGCTTTTGTTGTGAGGGCTACATACAGAGTCCAGGGTGTCTACCTGCTCCATGGATGACCGTGGGATCCTGCATTCCGAAAGAGAAGTTGCTGGTTAAGGTTAACACTCGGTCAGCAATCCTTGAGGAACTGGGCAATGTGGATAACCTGGCTACTTGCAGAACAGCGTAACTGGGTCTCTAACACCACAGCCCTGGACTTCACCTCAGCAAGGAGGTGAACCCTCATGTTTGGGCACAGGGAGCTGACGTCGCTGCACGGTCTGAGCACTAACTCAGTAAATAAAACACTGGTACAGGGTACAGGGTACACTCAGCCACAAAGAGGAATGTGTGTATGAGTGGTGAAAAGGTGGAAAGGACAGGAAGAAAACATAAACTGAGCAGTACGTGCAGGAATCTACAGGTTAGGGTGGGTTTCTTTTGTTTGTTCGTCTTCAGTACGTCCACAGAGCTCAGACTGAAGATTATGTTTAATGATTTTACTTGATTCATGAATTCCATTCACACAATTTACTTTCCTAACACAATAGGAAAGCAAACTATTCTTTTTCTATCTTCAACTGGTTTTAAGTTCTTCATTGTACAGCTTTGTGCAGAATCAGAAGCCTAATTATTTGAATAGCACGAGTTACATGAGTGATCAAACAGATAACAGATGAAACAGAAAACTACTTCTCCTTAAATAAAATTCTGAATTGTAATGCAAACTTCATATGAACTGTTTCAACCATATCATATGTTTTAAGAGTCAGTCATAACCATGCTAAAAGATACCACACTTCAGAAGAAATAAGAAAGAGCAGCAAACCGCACCTGTGCTTAGCAAATATAAAAGTAACTTAATAGAATATAGGAAGATTTATTTTTATCCCTTTTACATCGCATTCAGCAAAAAAGATTTCTGCTTTATCAATTCCAGTTCCGTGGTCTTGGAAGAAATTGTATCATAAACAATCACTTCATAGGGAACATATTAAAATACAACCCCTTTCACCAAGCTCCACCTCAGAGCCAGTTTGTTTTTCCCTCTGCTATTTGCTATTGAAATAACATTTTGGAAAATCAGTCTTTTTGGTGCTTAGGATACATTTTACCCTGAAGATGCTTTGTTTTAATAGAGTTCCTTTCAGGACAAAAACACAAGCAGAATTAAAACAACTCTTGTTGCAGAATCTATGTTTGGCTGTTGTAAATCCAATTACTCTGTAGTTATCTAGGATCTAGGTCAATT